CCCCAAAACCCCAAAACCCCAAAACCCCGATATTAAAGATATCTCAAATAAATAGATAGAAAATTAAAGATAAAATTGATGAAATTAATCTTCTCATAATAAGTATCATCTCTTCTTACGGAAGAAATTATCTAAATTTTTCATTCCATAAATTTATCATCATCTGGGAATTCATCTTGTTCATAGTCATCTTGTTTATTGAATGACATTTTGGCTGCAGATTAATTGAAGAGTCCACTTCTAAAATTTTGAGTATTATTCTTTGAGTTGTTCATTGAACCAGTCAATCTTGAATTATTCAATTCATCCTCCTAGAATATCATGTACTAGATTCTTTCTTCGCAAAGTTCAATCTTCCAATCCTCAACATTCGTGTATTACTCCATCTCCTCAGCAATTAGCACATCTAAAATACATAAAAGATTCAAATAATTTACAGTCATCTTAGCCGTCTTTCTCCATACTTTGATTATTATTTTCATCGAGTATTTTTTCGATTTCAAAATCATCAAGTCCAAGATTAACATAAATTGAAAGAGTATAAGGTCCATACTCCTTTTCATTTCTAGTTGATGGGACGATTATATATCTACCTGCAGGTAATTTTAACCTAAGAGAGACTTCTCTATGTTCTTTGAGTACTGAAGCTCCTTTGACTAAAGCCTTGTTGAATTATTCCATTCTCCTTTAATTGCTTGGAAGTTCTAGAACAGTGAAAAGAATTGGATGAATAATCTCAGAATAAGGGAATTTTAAATATTTTCCATCATCTCTTTTAGATCTTCCATCTTACTGTGCTAGAGAAATGAAGATCTCAAAATCTTATTCTACTGAAATACAATACTAAGGATTCTTTCCCCACCTTTGCATATTTTCCACTGTCATAGGTGATGGTATACCTCCTGAGCAAGTTTCATCCCAGCAGCCTTTGAATCTAATTCCAGTCCAATCATCTGGGAAATCAACGCAGATATACATGTTGTTGAACAAATCTCTCCAGGATCTAAAATTAATCAAAAAGGTTCCATCTTCTTCTCCTGGTGTGAACTATTCATCAATTGCCAATTCGGATGTATATTTCTAAATCAAATCCTTATGCACTTCAATCTCTTCACTGTGATCTGACCACTTGCCTTTCCATTCCATTTCTCCCCATGGATTTCTAATTCTTAGCAATCTGTGTGTCTTAATGGAGCTTTAAATCTCGAATACATCAATAATACCATATGCATGGCCTGTCATAATACCTGTCTTTTATCCATCAATGACAATTTATCTTTCCACATCACCAACTACAGAACATCCCATCATACATTTTTACTTGGCAGATCTCATTAAGAATTTCCAAAATTCATCTTTATCCTTGATATTTTTATGAGGAAAGATTTTTTATTCATTGTGAAGGAAAATTTTTTCCGCTACTAGCCCAGTCATATCGTTTAAAGCATCATCAATAAATCCAGATATCAGGGATTCGTAGCAGCCATGAAGTTTAGCATAAGCTTTCTCTATAAGGGCTACCCAAAATTCATGCTCAGCTTTACACTACCCAAAGACTGGTCTTCTACTGTATTGAAAACAAGGGATTCTATCATCTATGATAACATACCTCCAGCCGAATTCTTTGAAAAATCTGAAAACATAGAGGCCCACCTAAATTTGAATGCATGTTAAGATAAGATAAAATTGATACATCTCTGTAAATATGGAAAAGTGGAGGGTAAACTCCTCTTGAGAATAATTCAGCAGTTTTTTAATCTGCCTAAAAATCTGTAGATTTGTTTTGATCTCCAATACTCCCTCTCAATAATTCATCTCTAGTCGCAATAACTGATAGAGCCCCAATAAACCAACAATCCCCAAGCTTGCCTTATTTCACATCATTAGGAGCAGGACCATCATCCAAAAATTGGGGTTTTTAGTTTTTAGTATCAATCTCATCTGGAGTTAGCCACACCATTTAATCTGGATCAATATAACCTTTAGGAGTTTCTCCAGTACAATAACTAAATAACAATCAACAAGACAAAAACTCACATTGATTTGCTTGAACCGATTTAATCTTACTCATGCTTAGGCCCAAAATCAAGATCAATAAATCTCTTTTTCCTAGCTTTGCATTCTTAATAAAGTTTTTCAGCTACAACTAATGCTGACTTCTCATTTGCAAAAATAGACTTAGACCAAGTAGTAAAGTAGTCATCTTCAGTCAATGTGTATGTTAAACTACCACAAGTCAGTGTCTCTCCTCTAATAATTATATATCATTTAAATGGTTGATTACTTTTTGTCTTTTACTTTTACTGTTGCTTTTCTTGCGAGCTCTGATTCAAGAGGAATGCCAAATTTCTTGCAAAAATCAATAAAGTCTAGGAATTAGACTTTACCTTTCATTTCACTGTCAATCAGACTCGTCATGTAACTATATAATCATAAGTTAATCAAAATTTGGTTTTTTTTTGGATGTAAACTGCATATCTTATTAATTTTAGTTACTTACTCAATTTGCTGCTCTCCAGATTTCATCTTCAATTGGTTTTTTAGAAAATGATGGAAAACACTGTGTGTCGCTTTTTAATTCTTGCAATTGACGAAAAAGTCAATAATCAATTACTTTTGCTATTTGTTTTCTGCTATTACTTTTAGCTCTGCAATCACATCCTTCATTTTATTAGATTGCTTCTAAATTTCTTTCTGATGAATCTGATTTAAATCAGTTTTACCCTTCTTCTTTTCCTAAGTCTATGAAACTGCTTATTCCTTGATACCTAGATATGCCTTTACTTACTTTAGATTGGTTTCTAGCATTATCTTTAACTAATTGATATCAATAGGATCCAACTTCAATTATCTTGCTAATTAAGCGTAAGCTAACTAATTTATAATCATTGGATCATTCTTAGTTTTTGCAATCGGTATGAAACAAACTGCGAGCTTTTCTTCTTCAGAGAGTCTTTTTAAATTCTAATCAAGGTATGTTTTCAGCATGTCAACACTATACTATCCTTTTCCTTAGGGATGAAGTCTCGTGGCAGCATTCTGAGCCGATTATTCTTTATTCATTTGGGCTGTAAACTGTTTCATTCCGCTTAATACAACGTTAGAAGAGGATATTTTTTCGTAATCCTTTACAAACTACTGGCACATAGATTTTATAGTATCTTCATTTCTAACGACTTCATCAAATCTGACTTACTTTCTCTCTTCTCTAGAATCATTAAGTAAAGACCCCTTTTGTTAGTAAGGTTTTACGAGCTATACAAATTTAGAGGCCAATATTGATCTCTCTCCATCAACTTCTAAATGATAGAATAAGCAGAGTGCTTGAAATTTAGTTATGTTAGAAATTCTTTAGATCAATTCAAGATAATCTTCCTTCATTATGTCTTAATCAATCTTGTAGTTGTTATATTCGAGAGTGGTTTCTATAGGCTCCTCTATATTTTGGACAAGTTGTTTAAGTGTAGCTTAAAGATCAAATTTACCTGGGATACCTTTAAGTAACTGTATGAGATTTTTTGTGAAGATAGATCCAGTCATTTATGAATCTACTAATCTTATGAATTATGTTGTTATACTCTTCTCCAATCTCCCTTGATATCTAGAATTCAAGTCCATTTAGAAATTAGTGGCTGGCATTTTATCCTTATCATAAATGAAAGCTACCGCATCTTCGATACTATCTCCTGTTTAGATTTCCAATTGTTTGATAATGTCCTCAGGATTCACTTGTTTTTGCTACGAAGGTCCCGAATCCCCTCCTCTTGCTTTAAAAGCTCTAAATTGATTGATATATTTAAGCAATTCGTGATTTTCATCTGTTATTGCAGTTTTGCTTTATAATAACTACAGAATTGAATGCACACATTCTCTAGAAGATTGACGCATTTCTCCCTGATTAAATCCTAGCAGCTTTTAAGATATGATTAAAGTATCTTGCAGTTTTTCGATCATCATAACTAAAAAGTTTCCATCTCTTAGATTAAGGCATTATGGACAAAGCTTTTCTAGAGCAGAATAGCATGATTTCAATGGCACAATATTATCAAACAGCTTAGCCATATATAGAAGAATGACAGAAGTAAATTAGGCTTTGTTCTTTGTATAAGAGCTAAAGAATTCAATGACGTTCCAGAATTTTACTGTATCAGAATTGTCAAAAACGTAATAGTCCAAATAATAATCTGCCTGCAATTAGTTTCTCATTTAAAAGTTAGGCATCTTAACTAGATTGAGGAAAAATTTGACATACGAAGACTCTGAAATTTAAGGGTTTTAGTTAACGTTTAACACTTGCACTTTCATTAAAAAGTCTTTGAGCCCTTTCCTACTAAAATGTCCAATATCATCCAGTTTGATCTTACTCATATCATTGAATAATTCGCCATTCACATTCTTTTCAAGCTGTTGTATCAAGAGACCAATGGCTTTTGATTGGCATTCCAAAATGTATGACTATCTCTGTTAAATCTGTTCTTGGAAAATACCAAGTTAAATGATGTTGGGATGAGGTCCAAGAGAAGCTAGATATCTGTAAAGAGCCTTGCATTCTGTCATCTCAATTATTTGATACTGTTCATTAAATATTTGGAAAAATTCAAGAAAAGGTATCCCTTTTTGAATCTCTCCAATTTCTTCAATTCTTGAGTTTATCTCTTCTCTCTTTTTATTAGTCAAGCACATCATATTCATTACTAATGATGTCAATGCTTTAATAGTATCAACTTTGGCTGAAGCTGTTTTTTCGAGCTCTAATTATGGTGCTTAATGCTTCAAGACTCTATATTGATCAATTAACCTTACTAAATCATCAAGAGTAACTTCACTGGATCCAATTCTCTATTACAATGCTAGCTAAAAGATAAGTCTTCCAATTTCCATTGAAATCTTGAAAGCCTTTTAGAATTCAGTGAGTACTTCGACCTCAAGAATTCTTAATTAATCTCGCAAATTAGTGTTATTTAAGAGGTATTGCTTAGTGAATCTTGACTTGAATTAGAACTCAATTAAATTAGCAATATACCTTAGTTCAAGAGTGCAATCTGTTTTAAATGTGTCAGGAGTGTGTTTTTGCAAGAAATCTATCAAATCCTTAACAAAGACAACCCCTCTCTATTATTTATCTAGGTGCTTGATCATTTGAATATACTCTGATGATCTTAAGCTTGTTCCATCATTAGTCCTTACTGTTTTTAATCTTTATGACAGCTAAAGTACTCCGATAGTGCAATCTTCATTGATGTGGACATCAGAGAAAAGTTTCTTGAGATTTGCTCTTTAAGATAGGTTAAGCATTATAAGCTCAATAGATTCCTAATTATTTTATTATTGAGACAGGTCATTTGTTCTCATAGGTAAATTCTATCTTCTATCATTTAGACTTGAGTCAAACAATGGGCCTCTTGATTTCTATGGTGAATCGATCATTGTTAGATTCGAGTTTCTGGCTTTCTCAATTAATGAAATAAATTCATCCTCTTCAATTAGGCCGTTTTTGTTTCTATCAAATGCCATCATGATCTTTTTAAGATCAACTAGAGATAAAGTGTCTTAAGGAATCAATCTTTTAATAGAGTCTTTCAGCTCATCTACAGTTACCACTCCATTATGATTTATATCAGCGGCTCTAAATGCTACTCCAGGACTAATTCTTTCTCTAAGCATAGCATTATCTAGTTTTCTAATCCATACCAGATATTCCTCTTCAGCTTGAGGGACAAGGCTTTATGCAGATGATCTTAAATTTGTAGTTTGCTAAAGATTTTTGCTTGATAAGGATTAAGAGTTGGGAATGAATTAATTTTGATCATCTTAAAATAATGTTTCAAAATCCTATCTAGTTACCATATCTCTAGTTGTTTTGCAGTTAAAGGCATTAAGAGACTCCTAAATAATCTCAGACTTCATTGATGGAAGTATCTTTCTAAAGGTCTACTCAAGAACACCTATTTAGACAGCACCAGTGTTCTTAATATCAGCCATCTTATATACATTTATAGGCTTCATATTTTTCTTATTTAGCTCAGCGATAATAAGCTAAATTAATTCATCACATCTAGTTCTAGGGGACATGCTTTCAAATCCGGGAATAATTAGCCCTATATCTTTAATGTTAAATGTGCTATTCTTTTATTGAGAGTCATTATATGAGGCTAGAACATCTATTAGATCAGACACCTATATAAATCCATCGAGCTCGACATCTAAACTTTTAAATGCTTATTCAAGTTAGAATTTAGTAATCTACTCAAACTTTCCTGAAAACAAATTATTAAAATCTACCTCGCTAAGTGAATCATTCTCACGAATATTTTAGGCTCTAAAGAATTAACGTATGGCATCATGAGGTTACAAACCTCCCATTCTTCTTATAATGTTTCCAGCAATAATGCTGAAAGTATTTGAAACAGTAGGCTGGAGATTCTTAGAGAACCTAGTGAAAAGCTATTCCAGCTAAACATAATCTATCCTTTTAGCATCAATCATGACTCCTCTTACCAAGAAACTTCTGTCTTGTGTTGATATTGTTGGATATGAATTTTCTAGCTTTGACAATAGTTATCCAAGATTTATAGCTCCTCTTTCAACAATTGCCTTCATTGAGTTGAAGAAAGTATTAAAATTTTGGCCCTCTTTTTCCATTTTCATAATTATGTTTTTCCTTCTTTGGGTGTCAGCATCTAAAACATCATTTTATTTGGCTTAAACTTGCTTAGCTGGTGGTTTATCCTAAACTGTATTGTCTTTTTTCTTTGAGAACAAGTTATCAACGAAACCAAAGACTGATTGATCTCCACCTCCTACATCAACTTCCTCAAAAAGATTGTCTCTTTAGGCAGCTTGGGATCTACCCATTTATTACTAGCCTGGCTATGATATTTTTTGCCTATCAATCAATTGTTTATTTAGAACTTGACTTTATCTATAAGTCTATTCACCTTTGTTAAGTTATCTAATAAATTCATCTTTATCGACTAGCCCATTCTTATCTATATCTAGGTAATTCATCAAGGCATGCAACTCTTTTTGCTTGAATTCAGGTGATAAACCCTCAATAAATCTTTGAATCTCAGCAATGTTTACTCTGGTATCATCATTGATATCACAGGCATTGAACATCTCAACAAAACTTATGTTTTTCTTCTTAAGTTCTACTATAAGTTTAAAAAGGGCTTTATGTTCAAATGGATGATAGATCGTCCCGTCAAAGGATTTATGTTTTTCTCCAGAAACACAATAAGCTTCTAGTGCGTTATAATACTCATCTCTAGTGATATTCCCTTCCATATCTTCATCTAGAATCATAATAAGTCTACTTAGCTATCCTCTGCTGAGTTTAAGTCCCAGTTTCTGAAGCTAGTCTTTGAAAATTGCCGCTTACACAGACTACTTGTAATCTGGATCACAAATTCTGAAAAACGACTCTGGAGTTAAATTTTTATTCATTAATTGCTGTGAAAATTCCTGAAGAGCTGCTTCTTCTGGACTAATTCTTTCTTTCTTTTAGACAAATGCTGTCTTAGTCTCTTTCAATTATTTTTCGAGTCTTTTTATTGTCAGTTCTTTTCTGAACCATGCCTGAAGTTTGACAATTTTATCAATAGCAGTGATCATTTGATCAAAATTTTAACCTCTCTAATCTTATTTCTGAGGCTACTTCTTTGGACTGTTTCCATCTGCCCTTAATTTCAAGTATTCTTGACCAATCACCTCAAATCTACTGAATAGTTCTTCAAATGCTTCAAAAGCATTCTCTGCAGCGAACTAAATAAGCATTAATTTGAATTAGGAGTTACATCACCATCTAGCGCATCAATCTCACTTGGATCTGCCTTTGTTATGCTTAGGAATTATTTTACCAAATCCTTGGATGAATGACTTTCATCATTCTTTACGTTTTGCAAATGGTTAAATATCTTGAGTGATACTAGCAAATGCGACGACTTATCTTTACTCATTTTCAAATTCTAATTCGATTTTACTTATTCTACGTAAAATATATATTTGTAATTAAGTAATTGAAGTGCCAATTTTATTCGCTATTTCACATATCTCCCTTTATGGGGTTTTGGGGTTTTGGGGTTTTGGGGGGATCGGAAGAGCACACGTCTG